ATTTGTATAAATTGTATCCATAACATATTGGGTTAATGTAAATAAATACCTATATGAATATAAATGAGAAGAAAATTGTGTAACTTTAAATATTATATGTATAATATTAAAAATTTTATAAGTAACAATCAAACAAAATATGATGATAATGATAATTACCTCCGTAAATGTTGTTTAAATAGTCCTGAACCTGCCGGCAGTTATGGGCCGGAGCACCATCTTGTAAGCTTATGTAAGAATAGGATCTCTAGGTGGGGCTATTCGTTTGAAAACCGAAATTTATTTTTTCTCACTGAAGGTATACCTTGATCCTTAATTAACTTACTGTTACCTATTTTTTCAGTTAAATTGGTTATAATAACCAAAATATTGGTTGTATTTGAAAATGTATACCTATTTTTTTAAATTGTCAAATAAAAATCAATTACAAAAAAATATAGTATAATAAAAATCAATAGGTATGGTACAGTTTTAAAGTTTACAATACAGTATACACACATATAAATACTAAACAAATAAACACTAATATCTTATAAAAATAAATTATTGAGTTTGATGTCTTATAATACTGTCCAGTACAAAATTTGAAGACAATAATTTTTAAATTGATTTTGTGGTTTAAACGATATTTCAATTTGTACAAATATACTTAATATCTTTAAAACATAGTAAGCGACTAATAAAAAATTACATAGTAAATGATACAATTTTTTTTAATCACACAATATAATACAGGTATATGCTGACATTAATTTCAGATGGTTTATGATAAATTGACTAGGCTCATTACCCATTTGTAAAATCTCTTCAGAGGCGCATACAATTAGCTACCTAAGAAATTGTTTTATATACCTTATAATTTATTTAAATTAAAGCATATTCAGCACACCCCTATGATACAACTGACAAAAGTTTAAAAATGTAACTAATTCTATATAAAATGGGTTGATTAGAGCCATATTTAAAATGTTATTTTCACAATTTAACAATTTTTTATTGAATATATTTTTTCAATACAATATTAATTTAAAATTTTACTTTAACTTGTATGTCTTGTTTTTATGATTTACCTTCTAATAGGTGATTTTTTTTTTTTCAATTACCATTCAAAACTATTTCACGTTAGTTTTGAATTAATTGTAGCAAGTTAATAATCATAATTTTAAATATACATAATATATGGTGCCTAACCTATAAGTACACATCTAGCATATTGTAATTTTAAATGCATACTTATTGTACAACTTTTTTTCAATTACCTATATTCTTTAATTAAAAACAACTTAATTCAAAATTGGAAATTCCACATATTACCCCATTTTATATTTATAATATTGTGAACTACTTAAATAATTTAAAATAATTTAATAGTGAAAGACTATGAAATATGAATAGTTAAATATTTCAAATTTAAATTTATATAATATTATGTTTTTTTAACAATACAATAATTATGAATATTGTTACAAACAATAAGGTAATATGTAAAAAACAACTTAGCTATTTCAATATGTCGTGACTGAAATCATCCCATTTTATATTTCTATTATTATGAACCACTATAAAAGGCATTTGTATAGCAGGTGATCTACCAATTTACTAGAAGTGATCTACTACAAGATTTAGGTACCTATAATAATATGTACATTGTACATACCTATTGGCTATTAGGTTTAAAATATATTTCACTATTAATTATTAAGTTATTTTTTTATTTAGGATTATCAAATCAAATAAGAATTCATTCAAAAATACATAGTTTACCGCCATTGGTTAGTGCTACTCTATGAAAATTATATTTCTATTATTATCAAAATCAGGTGTACCTACATTATCATAATAGTAATACATTATAGTTTTTGGCTTAAATTGAGAAGTATGTAATAAGTAATAACTATAATAATTAATAGGTAAATAATAAAGGAGTAGAAGCGCACTTGATCGACTTTACAATTACTACTATGAAAGAAATGCACATTTATAAAATTTGATAGAGCACCTGCTAGATAAACACCCTTCAAAAATGTTACCATAATATTTAAAAGCTCAGGACTATGATAAATCTATTCCAAATTAAATGATACAGTTAGATCAAAATATTCGTTATGCAGTAATGCAAAATATGAGTTAAGATCATAACATGTATTCAAAAAAATTGAAACAAACTCAACTTAACCCCTAACTTAAAAAAATACAGTAAAATTTAAAAGTGGGACTAATAATATTTTAACGTGGTGGTACCTAATAAATAGCTAACAACACCAATCAAACAGAAGAACTATTCAGTTGCAAAACACTAAAACAATATACTTTTAAATAAAAATATTTTTATGATACATAAATATTAGGATTAAGACATACCTACCTAATATTATAACAAAGTAGTTATTTAAATAAAATATTTAATAATACCATGTATAATAATGAAGGTGAGTAATTTATAATTCTTTTTTTAATTTTTTAGAAACATGCATTTTACCATCCATTTAAGTATCAATGATTGATTGATGTTGTTAGCTAAATTAACTTAATTGTATAATATCTGTTAAAATTAAAAAAAAAAAAAAAACATTAGCATGTACTATTTTCATTTAACATATTTTTAGTTTACTATATTATTGGGATTAAGTTTTTTCTGGAATGCAGATTGTCAGACTTGATTTTTAATCTTCTTTGAAATTAACTTGAGTAGTTGAGTATTTACTATCTAATAAATTAAAAAAGAATAAATATAACCAAATTATTTAACGGTAAAATAATATGTTTACATACTTAATTCATTTTGTAGTCTCTCCCAACTATTAAAATAGTAAATGGGAAACAAAATTGTCATTTGTCATTGTTCTCGTTTGGAAAATGTAATGGAAGATAGAAAATTATGTGATTTCAATATCTATCTCCAAATCATTTGGCCAAGTATATTTGTAGTAAATACAGATCAACTTAGTTCTTAACAATAATTACTATGCCAGAATGTAAAATTTGAATATATGCAACTTATAAGTACTTCTGAACAGAGAACATTATATTTTTAAGTATGTATATGATGTAGATAGGCAACCATCTTGTTGTGTCCAAGTAGATGGTAATAAGTAAATGAATAATATATGAAGTTGTATTAGGTTTGTGCTATGGTGTATTGGTGTCGGCCAATAATTTTAAGAGTATAACAAATTTTGTGTTATTAAACTTTGAATAACATTTATTGGTGGTGTAACTGAATGAACAAAACTGATTTAACTGAAAATAAAATTTAAATAAAAACTGTTAAGACGTCATAATAATTAAATAATGTATAATAATGTATGTTGTATGTACAAATTAATGTATTAATCTTAACAATTTTTCTATGTATACATTTTAAGAAAACTTACCAATAAACTTAATGTAGGTACAAATGTTGTGCTTTCCAAGTGGTTGGTATTCATGTATTATCAAGTTTACATCACACTTCATAATATAAACTTAAATACATATATTTTTGATTGAAATATCAAATAAAATACATAAATATATCCCAAATTACGACTTAGGTATAATGTAATTTTAAGTTCAATGGAATATTTTTGACAAACTTAATGATTCAACAACTACCTATTTTGTTAGGTATATTATGCTATTAAAGAAATTTAAACTGTCTGTCAACTTATAACGGTTTACAACATAAACTAACTATACATATGTATAGTTCAATTATTAATTACATTATACATTTAATATTTAACTATTTAAGTAATAGTGCTATGCTGCATGGCCACATGGTTTAGTATTTTACTTTACAAGTTTTTAAGTTCATTATCAGTATTCAGTTTATTACAACCGATTGATTTTTCTGTACCATTATCATTAATTAATTAATATGATATAATATTTTAATCAATTCTATTATCTTATAAGACCGTGGTCATAGATAATGATAAAGGTATCGCCAAATATCGGTAATAGTAATAAGATTATTATTGTTCTATGGTAATATGGAGGGGATCTGGTGCGACAGCCAATGTCAACAAAACGTAGCATTGGTCAAATTAGCATATAGGTGTAATGTACATTGTACATTCAATTAATCAGGTTCAAACTTCAAAGTACAACAATTATCAATATGTTTAATGTTAGGGACCGTAGGTAGTTAGGTCGAATGGTATCGAATTTATCAGTTATAGCTTCTGGGCTTTACAAATGAAAATTTTCCAGCGGTACCGACTTTCAACCACCAATACTTTGAGGAGCTGTATCTCGCAAACCAATTAACAAATAATAAAAATGTTAACGCGTAAATTCATAAAAAAAATGGTTTTATTAATTCATGATCTTTTTATTATATGTTACCATTTGAAAATCAAAAGTTGATAGTGGTTTCACCAATAAATATAAGGGTGAAAAAAATTAAAATAGTATAGAGTTTTAGAAAAGCATAAATCTAACAGTTTAAAAAAATAAAAAATAAAAAAAAGTTAATACTTTTCGAGATAATTAGTGTACCCACTTAAATGGATCACCCTGTATAATACTTCAATTTTTATTGAAGTTTTATTTGATGAATTTTTATGGCCTGCTGTAGTTGTAACATAATATTCATTCAAATTTTTATTGAAATTTTTTATTCTTTGAGGTCTTAGTTCATCAGATGGCCCTTCTATTCCATTTTTTAAGGTCTTGTCATAAGTCATAAGTCCAGTTTTTCAATAGTTATCCAAACATCATCAGAGCGCATTCTCAATAAATTTGTCTTTGTATATTTAATTAAATTAATTGCTACTGGAAGTAATAATGAAGAATTTTGTAACTCACAAGATGCACAATGTATAACTTCTAAGATTTTTTCCATAGTACAAAGAATTAAAATACAATTGAAAGATGAAATTTCTCTTAAAAGGCCTGTTGACAATATTCGAGATTTTTCATCACCATCATTTTGAAGAATATTCAGTACTTCACGTATTTCAGTATAACGAAGGTTAATTTTTTTCAGAGAATTGTACCAGTATGACCAATGCGTATCAACTAAACGTTCCAAGTGAATAACATCTAATTTTTTTTTTTTTTTGAACTTCCACAAATAATTCATATGTTGTTTGCCCATTCATCAACAGTTTGTATAGACTTTGAACGACATTGAAAAAATTAGTTATAATTGAAAGACTGCTAAGAGTGTGTATGAGACAAAGATTTAAACGATGTGCATAACAATGAACATACAAAGAATGGGGTACAATCGCCTGAATTCTTTTTTGGACACCAGAATATGATCCACTCATCACATTTGCTCCATCGTAGCACTGTGCTATACATTTATTTATATCTAACTTATTTTCTGAAATAATTTTGATTATTTCATGAGATAAACTTTCAGCATCAGATTTTTTCATATGGTAACAGCCAATTGCTCTTTCGTGGACGTTATAATCAGAATCAACAAAGCGCAGTACAAAACTAAGTTGTTCTTTTTTTGAAATATCTTTTGTTTCATCTACTAATATTGTATATACACCAATAGATGATATTTTACTAAGAATATTTTTTCTAGTACAACTAGCTATAATGTGAATTAAATCGTTCTGATACTCTGGGGATGTATAGTGTCCATATCTTGACTTAAGTTTAATTGCCATTGCGTTGTCAGCAAACATTTCTAATAATTGAATAAAATTACCTTTGTTATTAGAACAGTCAGTTTCATTGTGTCCCCTGAATGCTAAACCTTGTTTAGCAAGAAAGAGTGTAGCTTTAAGTAAAAATATAATATGTTTACGGTTTTCAATTACATTTTGTACTCTAGCTACATTTAGAGAATGTGAAATTGATTTTTTATTATTATTTCTGATTAACATATAGTCATTCCAACGCTCCATACAAATGATATGTCTTTTATTATTAGAATGGCTATTGAATTTTTTTCTTGGTTCTTTCCAGCATTTTAAACCATAATCTATAAATGGAATGTTACCTTTCACTTCTCCAGGTGAAATCATGTGAGCAGTAAAATGTCTGCACGGATAACAATAAACTGAATCATTGATGATAGAATATTCAATCCAACGATACAAACTATACCAAGATGAAGAAAAATGTCTTTTATTTGTTAGTGAAATTTTTCCATATTTTTACAATTTTTGAACTTTAAATGCTTATAAAAAAAATTGTGACTAAGGATTTTTAATATTTTTCATCTGCCTTTGAAACAATATATTAGGAGCCTTCTATTAAATTTTCAAGCTTTTGCAACCAACAAATAAAATGTTATTGATATTTTTAGAAAAAAAACTAAAAAAAAATGGAAAATGAAAATGTCCCTAAACAGTTCAAAATAAATCAAAATATTTTGAAAATGTTATCGTGTATAGTAAATTCAAATATAAACAACCAGTGTTAATTTCATGTATATACGTTCATTTGTTTTAGAGTTACACCAAAAACCAAAATCGATTTTTTGGAAAACCAATTTTGCGTAAAAATTCCCGTTTTTCCTTAATTTGTATGTTGCTTTTCCCGGCGCTTGTGAAAACTACTGGGAAATTTATACTTTTGACCTCCCCAATGCACCAACGATATTCACTTTCCAATCGAACAAGATACTGAAGTCGAAAATCGAAGCATTATTTCGACTACTTATCGTGTACACAGACACAAAAAAAATTAAAAAATTAAAAAAAATTAAAAAAAAAACACACATCATTGTAAAATCAATACATTCATCGTTTCATTCAGAATCTAAAATTAAAAAACTAGCGTGAGTGCTAAACTAGATTTGTTCCCAATAAATTATTATATAGTTATATATTATTTTTAAACTGTACATTTAAACCTCCTAACCTCCTAACCCAGTGGCAGTTTTAGGGGGGGCGAAGGGAGCGCTCGCCCCCCTCTTGGATTTTCTTTGTGTCAACTGTTATGTTCTGTAAGTCAAATTATTTTTACAACCTATATTCAAATTAGTTTTTTATTTATTTTTTTTTTTTTGCATCAGCATGATTTTGGATTGATAACAATGGAATATATTATACGTTAACTTTATCATAAAATACAGAATTACAATTGCAACCAGAATTAATAAGCTTATTTTTATAGTCGGATTACTCGGATTTGAGTATGATGTAAGAAACGGTTTTAGCCGTAGTTACGGAATAGGTCCATGTTAATATTATATTATCAAATATCGTAACTTGTTATCTGAGGTTGTTTTTTTAAATTTACAACGAATATTAAGTAATTTTTTTGATATATGAAATTTGATTAGTTACCTACTAAATTTTTTTGTTCGTCATCGGGTCATGGATAAATTTATAATAAGAAGTACAGCGGTTTCTCAACCATCTACAAACATTAATGAGGTGAGTTAATTAATAGGTACTTCAATCTTTTATTTTTACAAGTGTACAACAAATAATAATAAATTCAGTATGAAGTTAACATGAATTTGTGCTATGTTGGTTAACTAATTTATTTCAGACAAACTTTGATAAAGACAAACTTAAACGTCCTGTGGAAAATGCTGAAAACACAGAAATTGTTCCTTCCAAAATTGCTAAAACTGTAAGTGTCTACTTCCTACTTACGTTTAATTCTTAATCTACTAATTATCATAAAAACGCATATTACATTGTATAACAAAGTATTTTCATTTTTATTCATATTTACTTCTTAATAGTTTCTCCCTAAGTTATATTGCACACTATAATATACACTAAGAGTACAATATTTTAATAATTATTATAGGCTGAAATTGATCAAAATTAAATTCCCTTCAATATGGATGTAGGACTATATAACTGTGGAAATGTTCAAATTGATGACCATCTACGCTTAAATGTGATTCAAAACAGTTCTGTCCCAACCTCTAACTTTGAATATCCTTTTTCTGTAGATTTGAAAAAAGGCAAAGAAGGCAAGCGTTTTCTCAGAGAAAATCATTTCAAAAGTTACCCCTGGTTAGCATATACAAACTTCAAAAGAAGGACTCTTTTGTAAAATTTGTGTTTTATTTAAAGAATGTAATCAAGGAGGAAAACACAAAACGGAAAATTTAAAAACACTTGTAACTACTCCCTTAAAAAAGTTTTCAAAACTGTTAGGTAAAGATGGTTTTCTTGAAGTACATCAAAACAATTTGTATCACAAATATGCTCTTCAAAGAGCTGATCAATTTAAATCTACCATTCTTAATCCTGATAAAAATATTTTAAACTTAGTCAATACTGATCGTTTGAAAAAAATAACTGAAAATAGAGAACGTTTGAAACCTATAATTCAAACTGTAAGATTTTTGGGGAAACAAAATATTCCTTTGCGTGGCCATAGAGATGATGGAGCTCTATTAGCAAATGACAATCACCATAAAATGAATAATGAAGGGAACTTTAGAGAACTTTTAAGGTTCAGGGTTAAATCAGGTGACAAAATATTAGAACAGCACTTACTCACCACACACTCAAAAGCTACTTATATTAGTTCAAATGTTCAAAATCAATTAATTGATTGTTTCAAGGAAGAAATAAAATCAGAAATTATCAAAGAAATAAAACAAAGTAGGTTCTACAGCATAATGTTTAATGAAACTACAGATCTATCGCACGTATCACAAATGAGTTTGGTTTTGCGTTATGTTTTTAATGATAAAATTAAAGAAAATTTTATTGAATTTATTGACTGTCATCATGAAGAGTATAGCAAAATAGATAATAGTGAAGATGTTGAACCTAAATTATCTGGTAAACATTCAGGCCAAATTGTAATAGATTTGTTAAACAAATTTTCATTAAATCTACATGATTGTATCGGAATCACAACAGATGGATGTTCTGTTATGACATCAAAAGGTCGTGGTGCAGTCCAGCAAATTCAAAAGTTTGCAAAAAATGCAATCTAAAGTAAATGTGCAAATCATGCATTAAATTTATGTATATCTAAATCGTCAACAGTACAGTTTGTATGGAATTCTGTTGGTATTATCAAAGAAGTAGTTGCTTTTTTTAATTCTTCTTCAAAAAGGAATTTTGTTCTAAAAAGTATTTCGATAAACCATTCTTTAAAAACTGTATGTGAAACGCGCTGGATTGATAGACATGACAGTATTTTATTGTTAACTACCTCATTTTCAGACATACTTGTTGCGTTAAATAAAGTATCTGAATGGTCAGAATCTGAATCTGCAACCAAAGCCAAAATGTTGATAAGTGCTTTAGAGAATTGTAAATTTATTTTAACTATGTTTACTCTGGCAAATATACTGAGTATTACATTACCTATTAGCAAATGTCTTCAGGGAAAAGAATGGGATTACATTAGTGCAACAAATATTATTCAATTGATTTTAGATAACTAAACCAATAAACGCACCAACTGTAATCAGTATTTTAATAAAATATATAAGGAAGCTTAAGAACTAATGAAAAAACATGATATTGTTACAAAATTACCACAAATATCTAAACGACAAACTCAAAGGCCAAATCCTCCTATTAACTCACCAGAAGAATATTATATGAGGTCCTTGTACATTCCTTTACTTGATAATATCATTAGAATGGTTCAAGAATAATAAAAATAAAATGTCTTTGACCTTAATGGGAATTATTCCAGTTTATTTAAAAGATTTTACTCCAACCAAAATAGAATCATTAACTGAAGACATATTAGAAGAATTTGGATACTTGAACATACAGAAACAAGTTCTTAGAGCTGAGTTATGGAAGTCCAAATGGGTTTTTGAAGGTACCTAACTTAATCATTAAGCATTAGAATATTTATGTTATACCATCAGTTATCTATAATCAATCGTTACTTTGTTTTAGGTAATGTAACTAATGGATCAAAATTAAATGTACCTAATAATGCTATTGACACTGTATCCAACTGTCCATATGTACTTTTTCCAGATATTAAGCTTATTTTGACTATAATTTCTACTTTACCAATAAGCGTGGCATCTACTGATATTATAGTTTCTCTACTTTAATAAGCTATTGTTTTATGATTGATTTTAAATTCCAAGATAAGTAAGTATAAAAAATTAAAATTTACTTGTACGCTTAAATGCTTTAGGCTTAAGACTTGGTTAAGAACAAAGATGTCTCAAGATAGACTTTGTGGCTTAGCATTACTGCATATTCATCGAGAACTTGATATTTCAGAACATAAGATAATAGAACGCTTTGCAAATAGCAAAAAAAGAAATATAGATTTTGTTATTTAATTAATTTTCTTTACTTTAAATAATTTGATTTCTATTATTTTTGATTAATTATTATTATGTTTACTAATTTTAATGTAATAAAATTACTTTTATAAGCTTATTAGTTAACTTGTTTTGCATGTTAAATTGTTTAAAGCTGTTTATCTAAATAATCTACATTGTGATTTTTACATACAAACATTTTTTTACAGCTAGCTAGGCATTATTTGCATGTCCTTTTTGTAATTCAAATTTAACTAAAACATGCTTAAATTGCTTTAAATTTATTACTTCAGTTATGCATTTTTTAATCATGTTTTTTTTTTAGATTATAGTCAAATCTACGGACTTTTTACTATATTGTATATAACATAATATTATGTACGGTTAAAGGTAAGTATAATTCAGAGGCTATTACTTAATAAAGATTCCAATAAAACTAAACTATTTAAATTATCAAATCAAAAATAAAAGTTATATATAAATATTAAATATATAATGTATTATAGGACCATAAACAAATTGTATTCTTTATTTATAAATGCAACTATTATGGGGGAGGGCACAAAAATTGAAAATAGCCCCCCCCTTTATGTTTTAGCCCCCCAACCCTTGAGCACGCCCATGTAAGTACCTACATAACAATAATTGTTACATATTCCATACTAAATATTTATAAAAATTATTATGAGAGGGTTGTCTGATGTCATTTAGATATAACACTTCACACATATTAGCACATATGCAACTACTGCAGTAGATATCTTATTTTATCAAAAGCAAAAATAAGTGCTAAAATTAAACTTAGTTTGTTGAAACTGCTTTAAAACCTTCTTAGTAACCAGTTTTACATTTTTATTTAATTATTTCTATTTTCTATAATATACACCAAAGTTAGTTCCAGTTAGTCTAATATGGCTAGACATAACTGTAGACAGTACTTATACAATATAAATTTATTTAGTTTACCAAGACGTCTGAGTACATCCTACGGCAAGTAAGATATTTTTATAAGGGTAGGTACATAAAAGTGCACACTCTAGTTATTATTAATCAATACAGCTCGTCATTATACTATTGCTTCTCCTCACAAGAAGTTCTTAAATTTAAAAGAGAAGTAATAATATTTTTGACAATGGATTCTGTTAAGAGCAACCGAAATTCTGATGTGAAGTGCCATAAAGGATTCCAGTATGTCTTTGACAAGTTCATAAACAATAATACAACTAAATCCTACAGATGTCGTAGAAGAGACATGAATTGCAAAGGCCGTATACATATCACTCCTGGTGAAATACGTGTCGTGAATGGCCATGGCGGTCATGATGAATCACCTACGAGTGTAGAAGTAGGTACAGTTTTTTTTTGAATTTTTCGATAATGGGCCATTAGACCCCGGCCTCAAACGCCATAGTGTTGACTTTATGAATGATTCGATTTGTATTTTTATTAATTTATTAGAATCCTAGGTAACTCGTTATTTTAGAAGAAAGGATTACAGTTCAATTGTACAAATGTACAAAATCCCAGTTAACGATAAAATCGAAATTTTTTTCATGTTGTAATTCAAAAAATAAAATTGTAGGGGCCTGATATTATTTTCATTAAATACTATAAAGGTAATTTCTAGTCATACAATTTTAAAACATTTTTAGATATTTACTTGAAGTTTTCGATTATTTAAATTATTTTCCCGGTATATTTCTAATTTAAATTTTTTTCCTTACTAAAATTGTTCAAGTTTTTATTTTTTTTTAATGAAATACTCCAAATCAGAACAATCTGAGTACTTAAAATCGTATTTTCGGCAAATAGTTTGAGTTTAAGGTTTAGGTGAACGGTGTGGAGTGGCACGGCCAGGGTTGGGCAAATTATCAAAAAAAAAGTAATTAATTACAAATTACAAATTACTCAAAATACAAGTATTTAATTACAAATTACTAATTACATGATTGTAGAATATTTAATTACAAATTACAAATTACATAATTGAATTACTTAAAATTACCAATTACATTTAAAAATTATTCATATAAAAAAGTGTATAAATTAAATCAAAAAAACAAAAAAAAACATTAGAAAAATATAGGTACATAGAAAAATTAGATAATCCCGTAATTTTGATTGCCTTTTAAAAATACTAGTTTTTCGAATTGTTCGTCAGACAACCGGGAACGAGAAGGTGCCATTATGAAGCCAGCAAATGAAAACAATCTCTACCGGTGCTGACGAACAAATATTAGTATTATAATTAATAAATAATTGTTTAAACATGTAAAACTTTTATTTTTGTCGTTAAAAAATTGCAATATCTGTAATTCAACACTTGTTGAGGAATCTGTTACAGCGTTACTACGGTTTGGTGACATGCATATTAAAAAACTTTCGATCGAAAAATTGTCGATTTATACATAGAACATGGACTATGGACAGTTAAGATAGTACAATACTACACGTCACATCTTCTATATTATACGACGTATAATATACGTAGTACAAAGTTCAAAATAAAATAATCTTTCAGTATCGCTACAAATGACTAACCATTACATTTATCAGTAGATAGAATTGAGAGAAACATAAACTTTGAATTGTACAGTTCAATTTTAAATTTATACTAGAAGTAATTGTTGGTAATTATAAATTACTAATTACACAAATATTATGTAATTAATTATCAATTACAAATTACATCAACATTTTATAATCAATTACCAATTACAAATTACTGAAGTAATTGAATTACTGTAATTGAAAAGTGCCCAACCCTGCTTGTTGTGGTATTTGATACTCCAGTTGATATTCCGAAGATTGTGTGTGTGGTAATGGCGATTGTCGTGAAAACTGAATCCCATCCTGAAGCGATGGAGAATTTGTTGAAGATAAGTATGCTGGTGATGGCTGAGATGGGAATTGAGGCATTTCATAAACAGATAGCGAGGGTGAAGATGTAGGCGTAGAGCTGTATAATTGGTGAACTTGTGGATAGATACTGTTCATTTCTAAATTGAATAATGTATTATTTATCTGTTGTTGAGCAATTAAACGTTGACGATAATCCAATTTTCTTAAATTAGAGGGAACCAATTTACCAAAAATTTCAGTCATCTCTAGATGTTGGTGTTCTTCTACTGGCAGAAATATCTTGAATGATTTTAAATGTTTTATTTAACCTTGAATCTTCTGGATTTATTTTCCGTGCAAGTTTTTTTGGAGATTCAACCGCCTTTCTTTTGTTTTTATTTTTTTGTACGGATACATTTTGAGGAATTGTAGTGGATTGTTATGCAGGCATATTTTCAGAAAATAGTTCTGGTACGTTTTGTATTTCATGATCAGTTATTTGTGAAATATTTTCTATTTATTCTTCATGAAGTATATCATCGGGACTTCTTGATTCAATATTATTGTTCACTGACTGTAAAAACAAATATAAAGTAATTTTACTTATAAATTTATTTAATTTTAATATTTTAAGAAAAACTAGTTGGTATAAAAAAAAAATGTATAAATAATAATTCAGAAATGTATTTAACTATTAGTAATATGAAAATTTAAAACAAATCTACTTTACCAGAAACCCTTTTTTTTCAAAATACGTGGTTTTTATACTGAATTCAAAAGTGTCTGAAAAAATTCCCGGAAACTTACCGTTCAAAAGTTATGGAAGTTCAAAGTTGCAGTGATTACGAGTGTATCGGCACTATTGTTGCCACGCTGACTAATATCGACATCTTTGAAATGCCATAACTTTTGAACAGTAAAATTTGCGGGAATTTTTTCAAACAGTTTTGAATTCAGCATAAAACACCACGTATTTTGAAAAAAAAAATTGAAAAGAGAGGGGTGTCCGGTAAAGTAGATTTATACCTGAAAATTTAACCACCTTTTTACCAAAAACATTGCATTTGGAAATGGAATTGTGTATATAAAATATAATATTATACGTAAATGTTTTAAGTTCCCAAGAATAATATTTTAGGAAATTATTACGACAAAATAATTAAAATTGTTTTTGTTTGTTTAAATGACACTTATTTTTTTGATTTCAGTCAACCCTTAGCAATAAAAATTTAACAATTTAAACTATTTTACTACAAGTAGAAAATAATTCACAAATTTTCTTAAGCTTGAGAAAATTTGTCAAAATTTGAATTTTAAATGAATACAAAAATATGTTAATGTAAAAAAAAAATGGCTATGTATCTTCATACTTAATACATAAAGCTACAGAATCTATTATGTAACAAAAATTAATTACCTACAATAAATACTTATGGTGTTTGTAAAAAGTCACCAGAATAGTAGCTTGTAGCTAATTGTATAAATATAAATTATAGTACATTATAATCATACATACATACATAATATGTGTTTGAAAATTTCATGAAATTTAAAAAAATTAAATATTTCAGTATTTTAATACATTTTTTTTTATTTTTGAATAAGTTTTATATTTACATATAATTGTCAGAAATTACCTTCATAATTGTACGGTACCTATATGTATACCTAACCTTTGGTATTATACATTTAACATGGTAATCAAAATTCTTAAATATTTTAATGTTTAAATGATAAAAGTAGGTATACAATATTATACATGTATATTGTATACGTACTGAATTCTTACATTAGAATTTAGAACACTGAACATAGTGTTAAAAATTAAAATAAATTGTGTTTTTATTTGTGTTAAAATTTCAATGTTTCATTTTTTTGTGAAATATTTCATACTTCAAACACTACATAAATGTAATACTCTAGTTGTATATTTTCTATGATCATAGAATTTACTTATTATTTCATTGTACCTATTCATAGTTATAATTTATTTTGCATAATATTTTCAGTTTAGATGCCAAAAACTCAAGAAGAATGGTTAAGTGTTGCTAAAACTTATGAAGACATTTGGAACTTTCCTCATTGCCTTGGTGCAATTGATTTAAAACATATCCAGCTTCAAGCACCAATTGGCAGTGACAGTGAATATTTTAACTACAAAAGTACATTTAGTGTGGTTTTGATGGCAGTCGTGGATGCCAATTACAACTTTATTTATGCTATTGTAGGGTGTCAGGGTAGAATATCGGATGGCGGAGTTTTTCGAAACACGTCATTTTTTAAATTACTCGATGAAAACAAATTAGAACTTCCTCCAGCGATGATTTTGAATGGAAGAGAAAAAGCAATACCCTACGTATTTGTTGCGGACGAAGCGTTCCCTTTAAAAAAAAACATTCTCAAACCTTACCCCGGACTTCACGAAAAGGGATCCATCAAAAGAACGTTTAAAAATTATCGAAAGCCCGCAGAGTTAACGAAAATGCTTTTGGTGTTTTATCAGCTGTTTTTCCAGTTTTTCGGAAACCAATGTTGTATGAACCAGAAAAGGCAACTATTGTAGTAATGGCATGTATATATCTACATATTTTTCTAAGGAGAGACAAAGCATCCAAGGATATGTATTCACCATCCGATTAGTTCGATCGTGAAATTGAGGGGAATACTTAATAAATCGTTTGTAAAACAGTTTTCAACTTCGTTTGGCGGTAAGAATGGAAGTCCAAAAAAATTTTCTAGGTATTTACCTAATGTTGTGTTTTTTTTATAATCGCTACTTAATCCTACATTCTGGATCTTTCGCCACCAGTTTTGGCCTAGATGAAATCTACAACTTTTAATACTTATTTGTGGCCACACTGTTAATAGAGCTGTGTGAATCGCTACTTCAAAATCAGCATAAACAATTTCAGGTATACAATTGAAATTTCGTTTATTGCATTCGTTTAGAATATGTGTAAAAGTTTGTGAATAACACTCTTTACTTTTAGAAGGTAGCAAACAAAATATAATATGAATATAGTGATTGTTGTGAGTAGTATGAATAGTGAACATTTGTGTGAACATTTTACAACAACTTTTAAATGTACCATCCACAAAAATTGTATTAGACTTACATAAAAAGTTTAAATTTTCAGTTGTTGAAAAATAATTATATTATTTACACTGTCATTAATTAATAAAAAGTCTTCTTCGCGATTTGTTTTTATTTTTAAATCCTTTAGTGTCTTATGAATATCGCTTAAACTTTTAGGAATACTCGGTTGAATACTTCTTCTAGCATAGTGCATATTTTTTTTAGAATCGTTATGTGTTAGAGTTTCTATATCATTTTGTAATTCATTATGCGATAACAAGGATTTTCTTGTGCTTTTCTTTTTAAAAGGTTACTCACTGTCTGCCTGGTTAAAATACTTGCTTCGTCAGGTTCATGGTTGTGTTTGATGTTTTTTTCAATAATAATTTCATTTTCACACTTATAAAAAGATTTGCACGTTCTTTTTACACATCGCCATCGTTCAATGTCATTTTTTAAATACTTATGAAATGAAAATTTAAAGCCATCAATAACGTTTAAACGCTTGCCTTTTTCACTAAACATAATATTTTGAGTGTTATCCATTATGTATGGAATATGAACACGTACTGACGTACTAGTGTGGTATAATCAGTGATTAGTTCATCGATTATTATTTCAACGGCAGAAAATACCTAATCTAAAATATTATTTTCGTACTGTATATTACTACGATAAGATATCATTTTATTGCCAGAAAGTACGTCCTTATACCATATTCGTACTTTATAACTTCATAATGCGTATAATAAATACGTGGACCGTGGACCCAATTCAAACGCATCATTTGATACGCCCGGACCCAATTCAGACAAAACATTTTATTCACACGGACCCAATTCGTACAAAATTTAAAACTAGTATTATTTTCGGACCCAACTCTGATGCTGCCCTCTTTTCAGGTTAAGAGTGTCCAAAATCGCGCATTGATACTGAGCCGCCGACATCTGTCAGACCCCCAGGCGACAGCAGATGCGCTGTGATTGGTCAGCATTGTCGACCGCCGCCGTTGACATACGGATCGGACTATCTGCCGCAGTTTATTTATAGATGGTTGTGCGTCGGCACACCAGAGCGCTCCCCATACATGCGCGAACAGAACCAGTTTTCGTCCGAGCATAGAACAGTACAGAAGCGAAACTCGATCAGCTGATTGGGGTATTGGTTCCCTATGATCTGAAGTCTGAACCTACGAAAAACATGGAATTGGTTCCCGCACCAACATGATGTTAGACCCGTATATTATAAAATTGGTTCCAAGACTATGGCGGGATACTGAACGCGGGGTCGGCACTAAGGCGGGATACGGGACGCGGGGTTTTCACGTATGCCACGCCCTCCCGAATACCGTGTTCAAGGCCGCTATCGCCTGGTTCGGCCAACGCACGGAGTTTCTTACCCCTAGTCCGAGCGACTGGGCACTCTTAACCTGAACAGAGTATAGGTCATCGGCTAGTATAGTTTCTGAAACATTGATATCAGCTGATGTACCATGGATATTAGGTGTTTGCTGATACTGAAAGTCGTATATACTTGGGAAGTTAGTTATATCTTGATGATAAGGCTGCTGCACTGTAGAAGGGTAATATGGTTGAATGGTAGATATTGAGTGAAGAGATGATGAACTTAAATACATTACATTTTTACTGCTTGATTATATTAGCATTTTAAGTGCACCATAAAATTTTCAAAAAATGTTGATCTGTTTGAACAGTTTACGGACATTTTCAGTTTCCAATTTTAGATAAAAAAAAAGTTTTCTTATATTTTTTCATTTAAACAAATATTTGGCAAAGATATATTTGTATAAAAATTAACAGTTAAAAAATTGTTAATAAATTTCTCTCTCTTTCCGTGCTAAATAGTTTTTACACTGCATTAAATATATTTGTGTGTTCTACAAACTATAAACATGAACGATTGAATTATAATAACATAGTAAAAATTGATGTTTTTAAAACTTATGATAGCATACAAATAATTTGTATAATAAAAAAAAAATTATTATAATATAAAGTTAATTACACTACATATAGTGCAGGCAGATCATAGTTTTATGTTTCGTATTCTTCTTCTTCTTCTGCGATTCCATCTAATAATTCTGAAAGTGTACAATCTTCTGTACAATCAACCTCTATTTCTATAGAAATAGTGCACCATTGGCCTTTGCAATTTCCACATATAATTGAGCCTAACCTGCTTTTCGACAACCACAGTTTTTACCACAACCTTTTGTACAACTAAATTATATACATTTAAGTAACTGATCGGGTGCTGGAGCTTTCAGTGTAGTAACTAGTAACAAAATATTATTTTAAAATGTCCATCATCAATCCTCCGGGTTTTTTATATGACCTAGCCACAGCTGCACTTGCAAGTAAATCTATAAGAATGTTGTCTGACAGCTTCTTCCGTTGGAGAAGTGACGCAAGATTAATTTTGTTTTTTGTAGCACATTTTGTAAACAGTTTATAACGTTGTTGGTTCAAAGACTTCTCATTTTCTGATCCGCCTTATAAATATAAAAAACATTTAACACCATTTTTTGCTATTTCCTCATGAGATGAATTAGAATTATTAAAAATTGAAACGATTGAGTTTATATCCTTCTGTTTATCTAGTATTTGTACGCATTTTTTTTTCCTTTTTGGAATAAAGCTGACGTTGTATCACAACCACTTAGCACATGATAAAACAATATTTTATTTATCATTGGTTTATCGTGGTTTTGTATGAATTCAGTACTATACATTTTTTTTCTATTTTTCCTGAGCTAGGTTTTAGAAAATAAATATTATTTTCTCTAGGAGTTAAAGCAATTATAAGTACTAACAAGTCAATGTCCTCACCAACCAAGATAGTTTTAGGATGATAACTTGATACATTAATGGTAGTGCTAACAATTAATGTATCGGCATCGTCATTTGCTATTTTAATAGCATGAGCAATAGAAGTACATTTTTTTGATACATGTGTTCTATCACCTTTCTTAATACTTAATATTACGCTATTTAAAAATAAACTCATTGTTTTAGGAATGTCACTATCTACATTTGTTAAAAAGTCATTGGGTGATTAGGTAAGAACTTGTATCATTTATCTGCGAGCGAATGTCTTCCCGAATAATTATTGCTGCTGCCTCAACGATTCTTTGTCTCTCTTCCTCTTTGTTTACTTTTCGATTTTCATACCAGTGTTTAGTCAAAATATTTTGACTTGTGAATCTAAAACTTACAGTTGTGGTTTTTTTGTTGGTAGAACTTATATCCATATTTTCACCATATTTTTCGAGCCATTTCGCACGAATAGTTTTGACATCGGGCACATATTCATAATCAATACAAGACAATATAACATTTTCAATCGAAAATTGACATTCCTCACTGTTTTCTAAAATGGAGTATATTTTGTCCATAACTATCATAATACTCTCATTTTGCGGCCTACCTCTTTTTAAATTGCCACTGGAGGTTGATTTGAAAAAATTAACAAAACAGTGTTTGTGATAAATAACATCAGCTGCTACAACATCAACTTTTTTTTTTCTTGCATATGGCGAGAAAAAAAAAAAACCTCTACATCATTTCGTTTTTTTACTTGTGCAATTATAGAATGGCCTACGTTTAAAGTAGTTACTGTACATAAAATCTGTCTATTCTCAACAGGCTTTTTCTTTTGAATATACGAAAAATTGTCTGGTATAATTTCAAAACAAAAAAGACACTTACATTTTAGTTGAAGCGACTGATGAGATGACCGTACTTTATTTTTGATAGGTGTAGGAGGCGCTGACTAGGGATGGCAAAATATCGTTGACCATCGATATATCGAAATTTCGATATATTGCATACCCAATATCGATACCACGATATATCGACCACTATTTTATCGATACATCGATATATATCGGAACATTTTTTTCTAATACTAAAAAAGGTAAAAGGATTATAGACTTGCGCATAGATGATAGATTATAATTTATTTCAATAAAACTTTATACAGTTATACCTTATACCGTAGTCCGAGGCCTATATATTTAACAGAATTATAAAATAGTTTATATTTATAAAAATATAACAATTTTAATAAATTATATTTGCAATTTTTATATATTTCTGTATACTGTATGTCTGTATATTTAATTTTTAAAATATTTAAATTTAGTAAAAAAAAATGTAACAAAATTAACATTTATTAAGTTTGGAACCAAAGATCATCATCAATGGAGTTTAAAAAAAGTAATTTACTCAATCTCTTTCCTAATAGTCTATTCCTTGATTTTGAAAGTGTTAAACTAGCCTTTGAAAATAATCTTTCCGAAGGAACAGACGAACCCATGATGGACAAATATTTCCGAGCAAGTACATATAAATCTGGATACACAGTTTTCATATCTTCCCAGCATTGAACTGGATCTTCTTTTAAAGAAATTAAAGGCTGTGATAAGTAGGCATTTACATTGGTAGTTTCTGACAAATCTGTTCTTGTTTGTTTTCTTTTATATTTCTTATGTACCAATGTTTTATGGTGGTCCCATAAATCAAAATTATCAGATTGCTGTTCTTCGTCAACACTTGAACAATCAGTCAGAGAGTAATATTTCGATTGTAAAGTACAGCCAAAAACATTAAACAGTTAAATTAGAACAAAAAAAATAGTCGTATATTCGTACAGTGTTCAACGGTCTACGGACTGCGAAGAAATGGTTATTCAGAATAACGATTAATATGAGTATGGCAATATTCATTAATCATAATATCTTTATGGGCTAATGGCTTCATGGGCTCATGGCTTTATCGCCTAATCAGCATTCTAATAATAGTTTAATAGTAGGATTCCATGGAACCGTACGGCCGTACAAATACAATATACCTATATGAGTATATCACTTTATCTACTTTCAATGGAATCAAGTAGGAATAGTAGGATGTACATATAAACAGTAAACATACTGCTATAATAGCTATAAATATATAAAAACCCAAATAATTCATAATTGTATTTGTTACTGTTATTAAAGTATATAATAATATATTCTATTGGTTTCCCAACGATTAATCGTATTAAAATATCACAAGACTCGATAATATCGAGGCGATATATCGGTGTGGTTGTATCGATGTAAAATTTCTCGATATATCGACTTCATGTATCGATATTTTCGATATATCGATATATCGTTGCCATCCCTAGCGCTGACTTATTAGACGCAGTTGAAGCACTATACTCGGGCCGGCGAGAGAACGCTTCTCGTTTGCGCATCCAAATGACGGAGCTCCGCGGTTTCGTACCCACATTTCTCCCACTCTACCACCTAGGCGCCGCCGTAAATTCTCCCACTCGTTACGCGTGACCAGCGGCAAATATCATGGCCGCCGTCTGTATACACCGGCTCAAGTAACACGAGAATAAATTAATAGCTGGCTATTGGGGCACCTATTATGTATTTAATAACAATGCAAATAATATGTATGTAATATCATATTTTATTTATGTATACCAACAACATAATACATTGTTATATAACATAATACACTTTATAATATTAACTTACTAAAAAATATTCAAATACAAAAAAATTAAAATAGTTCAAGTAAAAAATACAAAAAAAAATCAAAATAGTTCAAAATCGTTCAGATTATTCAAATACAAAAAAATATCAAAATAGTTGATATACAAAAAAATTTAAATGGTAAAAATACAAAAAAATCAAAATAATTCAAGTACAAAATAATCAAAATATAAAAAAAATCAAAATAGTTTAAATACAAAAAAAAATCAATCAGAGTCACAATCAGAAGAACTTGTATCTCCTGTTCCTATCGTGAGAACATGACGTTCATCGTCTTCGGGTAGCTCGTCCATTAATTTGTCGGTAATATGTTCCAAGTCCCAAAACTTGTCTTCCACCTTTTTAACATGTTCAATAAAATTTTTCCACATATCCGGACTTACGTGTTCCACGCCTTTTTTTAACAATTCCATTACGTCCTTTAATTTGAAGGTGTTGTTATGCGTCCGGACATAACTTTTCACGGACGACCACGCGAGCTCGATAGGATTTAGCTCGCAGTGATATGGAGGTAATCGCAATACGAGTTTGCCGTTATGTTTTGCGTACTCATCGATAACGTATGTGTCGTGATGTTTTTTATTTTGTAAGCTTTTTTCATTAAATCATTTTTAACAATAAGATGAGTAACGATCACACCTTTACTCTCAAGCCAATCAATTATAGCTTGTTTTTTCCAAGACCTCACTGGTATTTTCTGTTTTTTTACGGAATGGTATGAAGGATAGATGAAGGATAGATGAAGGATGATGGATAATGATCCATGACGATGATGGCGTTCGGTTTAAGTAATGGCAGGGTCTTAACAAACCATTCGTAAAACGTATCGCCATTCATTTCGTCATGGTAATCCGCAGAATTGGTCTTGGATTCGAAACATAAAAGGCCCCCCGGAACAAAACCGTCTGACGACCCGATGTGTAATACGTATGTGTAATTTGTAGTACTGAATACCGATCACGTTCTATATGTACGTCTGTCATTTTACCAACACCCATGCATGTGTCACCGCATATTACCTTAAAAATTTACAAACATTTTTAAAAAGAAAAATATTGTGAGTGACTTCAATAATTAAGTATGAATAGGATGTTCAGGTATAAATTTTGAAAGCAGATTTGAATTCGCTTCTAAATTTACTATGATATAATTATTGTCGTACATTTTTCATATTCTATACCATTATGTATTTAAATTTGAATTATGAATACAATCTATTTTTACTCTTTTTGTTAGTACAGTTCTAAGTAAAAAAAAAAGAAAAATCAGAAAAATTAATTTGCCAAAGCATAGATAGTTTAGTGACGAATTCAAATCATTAATTTAAAACAAGGCTGCTACCTCCTCTGCTGTCGGTTCAAACGAAAAAAAAAAAAAAAAAAAAAAAAAAAAAAAGGCTGCTACTATACCTATTGTTACAATGAGATTTAAAAAATATTAAAAATCCTTAGTCACAATTTTTTTTATAAGCATTTAAAGTTCATAAATTTTTTTTTGTAGTTTAAAATGTATTAAATGTTTAACTTTTATAGCTAAGGATAGAAAAACCTAACTTATTCGTCATGTAGGTCTAACCTCTATTTGGCTTAATTATTGAAATTGTATGATATATATAATATATATATTACCTACTTTTAATACACATGAAAAAAGCCCACACCAGTTAAATACACATTTTTACATTAATTTTTATATGTTAAATGGGAAAATCAAATGTGCACAATATTTTTAATCAAAACCGCAAAGTCAATGATTTAAAAGGTAGGTAGTATAATTTTTTTTTTTTGTAAGAATTGAAATAAAATTAACAGTTTTTTTATGTTAGCAAAAACATTTGAAATTGTTAAATAATTGTTAATGAACAGTCCCCTTGCGAATTCATCATGGTATTTATTATTTATATTTATTTTATAATATGTTGTGTTTATAGGTGCAACAAACTTAAATGACATTGTTGTCAATGAAGATCACATTTCTGCAGTTGATGATTTAGAAGGTAATTTAATTTGATTTTATATATACTTTATAAAAATGTTGATTTAATTTTTATTTGTTTGTTAAATAGGAAGTGAAAAAGCTTGCAAAATTTCTAATGAAGACCAGTCTCATACTATTTCTGTTGCAAAAGGTTAAATTAATATTTTATTACTATATGTTAAGTTAATATTATATAAATAAATTTCTTTGCTATTAATTTTCTTTCCCCGAGGAAAAAATTAACTATAAGTACCAGGTTTTAACACAATAAATAATCTTTTCTTTTCGTACGTCATTTCTCTAGTAACTTAATTGCTTATAATAGTCCGGATTAGATATCAACTTTTATACCAATGTAAAAATATATACAATTTTTCTCATTTTTAGAGTTTGGTATCGAAGAAAAAGATCCTATAAAAATAATTGCATCTGGACCATTTTCTTATGAAAAAAGATAATTAATTGTTAGCTTGGGTCCTCATCAACCTCAGAAAGAGGATATGTCCAAGGACTGTTTTCCTATGCGAAACAATAGGAGTTTTCTTCCTTCGTGGTATAAAAAAACATTACCTGATGGCACTAAAAGCTCAAGAGAATGGCTTTCATATCCGTGCAGTACAGACCGTATATTTTGTTTATATTGTATTTTAATTGGAAATGATAAGCAGTCTGTTTGGGTCACGAAAGGGTTTGGCACATGGAGCAAGGCAACACAGAGACTAATAATGCATGAGACTTCTTCCTTTCATGTTGAAGCTTCTCTTAAATTGAAATTAGAAGATCAGTGTGTGCCTCTTCAACCTTCAATTCTTAAAGCAAGGAACACATTTGTTGCTACGAACCGTCTGATTGTCGCAGCAATTATTGACATAATTTTCTACCTTGCTCAACACTCTTTGGTTCTACGAGGTCACAGAGAAAATTGGGAGTCCAATTTGCGTGGGAATTTTAAAGATTTGGTTTGCTTATTGGGAAAGTATCACCGTGTTCTTGGATCATATATAGCTGGCCAACGTTAAAAAAAAAAATAATATGATTTCATATCGTGGAAAAGGAAAAATGAACTCATTGACGCAATTTCTGGATACACTCGTGGCGTCATTTTAAAACAAATTAAGTGTGCTAAGTTTTTCAGTATAACATTAGACAGTACATTCGATAATTCTAGAAAAGAGCAGCTCTTCTTTGTGATTCGCTACATACATGATGATACTGCTGAAGCCCATGGAAGGTTAATCAGTATTAAAGAATGTGCAAATACTTCGGCACAAAATATATTTGAAATAGTAGAACAAATATGTGCCATATATTCTTTAGATTAGAAGCAATACTTGGTTGGACAATCCTTTGATGGTGCAAGTAATATGCGTGGTGCATATAATGTACACTTCAGGCCATAATTAAACGTTCTAATCCGGCTGCAGTTTTTGCTTGGTGCTATGCACATCGGCTGAATTTGGTTGTTATTGATGCGGTAAGCTGTTCACCCAATGCAGTTGATATGTTCGGGATTTTAGAATCTATTTATGATTTTATATGCTCAAGGAAGAAATAAGTGGCCTTTATTTTATGAATTTCAAAAAAGAATATATGGAAGTACACAACGTAAACGTCGCTTCAAGAGAGTAGAAACTACTCGTTGGTGGTCCCATGATCATGCGCTCAATACTGTTTTAGACACGTTTTATGCTTTATGTGAAACCTTACAAAATATCCAAAATAATGAATGTTCAAGTGATCGCAAAGGTGCTCATCAGGCTCGGAGTTTAAAAGAAAATATCATGTGTGATAAATTTTTAACCACAGCCATCACATACAAAATAAAATGTTTCAAATTATCACTCCTCTCAGTAAAATTCTGCAGGCCAAAGACATAGATCTTATCGGAGTTATTGATTTAGTTAAAGAAAAAATGCAACACTTAGAAACATGTGACATAGAATTTTCCACTGTCCTCAACGAAGTAGAAGAGTTCAAAAAGTGTTCAATTAACGAATGTGAAGATTTTAAGCCGATTCCACATAATCGAATAAGACGGGTACCACGTAAAGCTGACGAAATAGCTGTAGACGAAGTTATTGAAGACCCATTGCAAAATTATAAAATTAAAACATATTTTATAGCATTTGATACAGCTATTACTCAGATAAAAGAAAGGTTCAATGAAATATCCAGTGATTTATTTAAGGATCTGTCATTATTTTCTCGACGTCGCATGGAAGAAATTTTTAATGATCTCAATAAATTGCCAGTTGATGCATTTAAAGTATTTTCTGATACATATAGTAAATTTGTTGATAAGGAAGATTTAAAAAGAGAATATGTACAATTCATAAAATGTTATTTGAAAATAAAAAATATAATAAATATAAATATTGTTGTGAATGCTAAGAACCACTGGTTACTTTATATGTAGAATATATGTTATTAGTATTAGTGATATTGTACACCACCTCCGGCCAAAACGGAATGTGCTGAGCAATCAGCAAACCCTTTCGGCCCGGACGGAGCAACGACTCGCTGTGTATAACACAAGCGAGTCAGTCTTGGTTTAAAAGCAGAGCCTTATGATTGTCAGAACCTCACATAACATTCGGAACATTTTATATTAATTATATTAATTTTGAAGCATCTGCCGTTATTAATGACACCCAATAAAGTTAATCTAGTTCTTTTCAATTTGTGTTGTGACTATATTTATTAGTGACTGAACACCTAAGTGCGTTCATAACATTTTTGGTGGCAGCGGTGGGATACGTCTTCCAGTATCTCGCTACTACGTCATTTCATAAATTGGAAGAAAGAAAATCAAAACTTCAGTGTCAAAGAGCAAGTGCATTTATAAACCGGACGCAAATCATACGGAGCATTTACAGAAACTCGCCGATCTATTTTTTTTAAGGAGGTATAGTAATATTTTATTATTGTTATTATAATATTATACTCGTTTGTAGTACGACGTATACGACGACAATCGGGTCGACATCGACAAAATTCATAGAAGGGGCATATACATAGCAGTGCCACAACAGTCGTCGGTGTCACCGATAGAATCCAGAGAATTATCGCTGACGTCGCTACGCAGGCCGCCGCCGAGAGCCGCCGCTGACGTCACGAGCCGCCCGAGCTGTGCCACTCGAGCCACGAAGGTCACACAAGTACGAGTTACATTAAGCCTGGACAGCAACTGTCACGGGGACAACTACAGCCACGGAGATCATTTGACCGCCGCGCGCCGTGAGTAATAATTTTAGTACGCGATTGTATTTTTTTTTTTTTTGTTAGCAATAAAAAGTTAGTGCTCTGCTGAATTGTAACTGCCCATTCTTGTGTTGTAATTCTTGGGGAATCCCACTCCGTGGTTCTGGTTTTCCAAGTGTCCGGGTGTGGGTGGTTTTTGTCCTCTGGTATTGGTGTTGGTGCACGACGTTGACGTGATTACATTGGTGATACTTGTGGTGACCATTGTACTTGTCCCCTGGGTTGGGAACGGTGTTGAGTGCACGTTGGGTATTTCCCTGTTGTATAAGTCGGGAATACCATGTGTCTCGTAATATGTGTCGTAACCGTTATTTTTTTGGTTGATTATATAATATTGAGGGGTTCTGGTTTTTTCTCCTCGATTTTGGTGTTGCCCCGGGGAGTTTCTTTGGGTTTCGTTATTTTGTCTTTCCTGGAAACTCTCCGGGGTTTTCCAGTTTTTGAGGCTTTCAATTTCTCCTAGGATAGGTTCGCTTGTGCTTGCTGTCTCTAGTTTCTTTAGTCGGTCTAGAATCTCTGCGAGTGTCCGCTCTAATATGTTAGTAGTGGATGTTGGGTTTTCCCGTTTTGATTTTGGGTTTTCCCCTTGTCCTGGGTTTTTTGTTGTTCTGTAAAGATTTGTTGGTCCTCCTTTTTGCTGCTTTCGGGTGCGTGTGTTACCGTCACTCTGGCGGTTGGTGGTTGTTGGGGGTTTTGTTGCGCTTTGGAAAAAACGTTATTTTGTGGGTTTTCCCCCTCTGTTTCCTGAATATATTGTTCAAGTGTTAGGTAAAGTTCTGACTTCGTACCCATGGTTCCTAACCCTCTTTTGGTTAGTTCCCCCTTGAGTTCCCCGATTGTCAGTTCGTTGATAGTTTTCTGACCATATTGCATCGTGTACTAACACGTGGAGGTCCTACCTACTACTATTGATTTCGCCTTGCTATCCTAGTTATGTAGGGAGGGTATATTCCCCGTGTTGTTTTTTTTTTTTTTCCTTTTTGAGGTTTTGAACACGTAATTTAAATTCCTTACCTGTATCGGGCCTCGTGGTTCTGTATCTTTTTTTCCGACTGCGCCAATGACACGAAGCAATCTGCGTGATGGTAAAACTGGTGACCGTATTTGTAACCCCGTGGGTTATATATTAATGAAAACAAATACAGCGGTACTATTTAAGTATTATATATTTATTAAGTACAATATCTCAACGGTATTACATAAAATAACGAGATGACTCTTAGTACGTGGACGTGAGGTTAAAGACAACGTCCCGCCACGCCGTAGGTACAGACGTCGGTCGACACCGCCGTCCCCACCCCCGGCACGGGGCGTCCCTACTCCAACCATGGTCGAGCGTACCAGCGACCGGCCGAGTAGAGCGCACGTCGCGGGCGGTATCCGCATGTTGGGTAACGACCGCGACAGTATTTAGTATTTTAGAAGCTACTAGTCAGTAGGATTAATAAGTTCAAGAGATTGAAATAAGTTTAATTAATAATGGGTAGTTTTTATTTCAGTTTATTAATTGGCCCTTTTCGGCCAAAACTTAATAATAGGTATTCATTATTAATAAATTTCATCTCTATTCTCATTAACCGACAATTGTAACCCTTATTTCACTTATTTGTATTTTTATGAACTTTTGTCGAATTGATTAGAACTAAGTGAGTGCACAAAACCATCCATTGAAAATAGGAGCAGGATGAAATCAGACTAGTATTATATTTTGGATATTTATTTAAACAATGTCATAATATTTTGATATTTTGAACTGAGCAGACAATATCGACTAAAATGGTTTAACAATTTGAATAGTAATTCTCATTATTTATCTGTAATTTAGATTTTTTATTTCTATTTAATGTGGAAAGACATAAGTACACAAATAAATAAATAAATAAATAAATATAGTAATATTGAATACAATAAAAAAAATTTCGAAAATGTATGGGGTCCTTAAGGCCATAAAGCCCCCCTATTTTTGCACTATGATTGTTTCTAATAATACAATTAAATACATAAACGTGTATTAATTATTATTTATATAACAATTAAGTAAACATCTTACTTAAACACACATGGGTTACAGACTTCAGAGATTAAATTGTTTTTCATAATAAGTTACATGCATAGTATATTTTGAATTTTTGAAAAAAAAAACCAAATTCAATGTTTTTGAAACACACTTTTTGATTTAACTATTTTTGAAAACCAAAAATCTTTAATTTTCATATTTTTGAAAAATTAAAAACGGTTTCTTTTGTAAAATGTATCATATTATTTTTATTTCATGTACTATATAAAAAAGACTGTCAGTACTACAAATAGAATAAAAGGCAAGACATGGGAAGACATTACAAGTGACTAAAATGCATTGCAAACAACTGGCATACGAACTACAATACATTTAAAAGCAATGTTTGATATTATGAAGCGAAATACCAAGAAATCTCAAAGCAGCGAAAAAGTAAATAAAAAAAATTATTAAAATTGTATTCATTTAATGAAGTATGTACTTGTTTTTATTAACACTCGGTTATCCCATTTTTATGTAGAGTAGACCCAAATCACTGTCAAGTATTAAATGTTAGCTTATTGACATAATAAAATAGTTTTATTCAAATGTTTTTAGAGTTAATTGATCAATTAATTAATGATATAATTATTTTAGGTTAATACTTACTAACTCCAACCCAATGGACAAACTGAACGTGGAAAAAAAATAATAGTTGATCTTATTTCTGTTAGTTTGGATTTTCAAAATGAAGCATGGGAAACTATTGCTGAGTCGTATAATGAACTTCAAACAAGTGGGAAAAAAACAGTTAATGAATTGAAACTGTGCAAGGAAAATTTATACAAAAAGGCTAAATTAGATATTAATAAAGAAAAAGTAAATATTAATATTATTTCTTTTATGGTGTTTAATGATATATTTTATATCATAACTTTGTATTTCTTCAGAGAGAAACCTACTAAACTGTAGGTGTGCAAGCTAAATGTAATTATACGACTGCAAGTAGTAACATTTCTGGTAAGTACCTATGATGGGTGATCGATTTCAATCGCTGGAGTCTCACGATCATTCAGTAGTCAAAATTTGTTTACAAACGATACTGATCAAAATGTCAGTACTAATGATGAGAGTTTAATATGTAAGTTATTATTAAATTAAATTTAAATAGTTTTCATTGATAATGTAATATTCCCGAATAACATATTTATTAAAATTGTGTTAATATTAGATTTTAACTTAGGCCTAGATGATATAGATTTTTCTGCAAGTGTTTCACAGCCAATTTCCATTGTATCTAATGATGTTATAAGTGGTGACAACTAAATTCTAAATTACATTTTTTAGTAGAAGTCTAATATTTTGTAAAATGATATTCTTTAACTAGATAAATTAAAAACCATCAATCAGCAGCCAAAAACCACCTATACAGAATCTGTTACAACCAGTGTTTATTTCAGACCTTCTATCCCGGGGGGGTATCGTAAATTTTCAAGGGGGTATGCCTTAGAAGTAAATAATTAAGGGAAGTGAAAATATCGTTTTAAGCTCAATTTATTGGTATTAGAAGGATACTTACGAATACATAAATTCTTAAAAAAAACTAATTTTGATTAATTGTATGAAAAAAATATAACAGACATTTACTATACATACAAATATACAATACTTATACTTATACATTACTTACACATTTTATATTATTAATAGTACTCCATTATGAGCTTAAGTCATATATATTTTAATATTTATTATGTTTATTAAGTTAAATTAAACGAATCCGGCGCTGTTTTTGACGTGCGTACAAATAAATTACCTCATTCACAGTATCTTCATCGAGTTCTGAGGGCCCTTCTGTGCTAATTTTCATGCAGGATTGCAAAGTTTCTTGTCCCATTCGATTTCTTATTTTGTTCATAATCCTATTCATCGTACTGAAAGAGCGCTCCGCAGTGGCCGTTGAAACTGGTACACACATTAAACATTCAGCCAGTTTTTTCAAATTTGCATACCCAATATTTGCTTTATAAATATATGACAGTGGATTTTTTACATTTTCTTCTATCAAACTATTTGCAACATACTTAAATGAATTCAAGTCTATCCAAACATTGATTGGTTCAAGACTAGGAAAATATAAACAAATTTTCAATATATCT